AGGAGTTAAGGATAGGAATATTTCTACAGCAGCTAGAGCCAATTGTGTGCAAGATCTCCTAGATATTAATAAGGATGGTAAACAAAAAATATAAAATTTAGTTAACGAAAAGCATATTCCTATTGTGCAAAAGAAAAAAAATACACAAATTAGAGTTTCTGGACAGATCAGACCTAAAATATTCTCATAAACAAAAATGAAATTATTATCATAGTCTATTATTAAAACAAACGCAACAAAAACATAAAACTGGGGATATAAAAAAGTAAAAACAAAATTGTTCAAAGTGTTGTAACATGTATATGCATGTCAAGCAAACGTTTCTAAATCTGATGGTGAGTTGATGACGACGACCTGCTGTCCATCGTCTCGTCGACATTTCACCTTGCCTGCGCTAAACCAACTGTACCTGATTTTTCCTGCAGACCTCTTTTGCCGGGCCAGCCAGTACAGGTGTCTGTTGGTTACGGACATAGCTTCGCTCAGGTAGATCTTGTGGGCGTCATTTTCTTGCCATCCGAGGTGACGTGTTGAAAAATCCCTAATGACTTTTCGCCTCTGGATCAACTCATCCCTAAGCGACTGCCGGACGAACCTTACCACAAGCGGCCCAGGTGTATCGTCTTGCCTGTTTCTTATCCGTTCTGCATAGTCAATGTCCTCCACCTTTAGACTAAGGCCCAGGCCCGCCCCCACGCTCATAACCAGGCCCATCGGGGTCTCTCCAGATCTCACTGGGACTCCTCTTATTTCTATTGACCTGGAAAGGTGCAGTTGCTCACTTTTATTGAGCCTGATTTCGAGCTCCGAGACCCGAGACTTGAGAGTCGTGTTTTCCAAGACCAGTCCGTCAATCTTGGAATTTTGAGCCTCCAGTAGTGACTCTATAGAGTCTAATTTCGCCGCATTCTCAAAAGTTATGGATGCTTGCTTTTCGAGAGATATTTTTAATTCTTTCACCTCGTTAGCATTGGCATCGAGGGAGAATTTTAATCCCTTGACCTCTTCTGTTAAATTTTTAATGGCAGCAAGTAACAGTTGTGACGTGCTGTCGACAGTTTGTTGTTGTGGCGCCGATCTTGGCGGGCTGAGACACTTGTCTGTCGGTTGGATATTTTTCCGTGCCTTTTCACATTTCGGGCATTCCCAATTTTTTCGTAATGCCCTCAGTGCTTCAAACTCACTCTCGTCTGCGTTTAGACATTTTCCATGGAAAATGGCTTGACATGTTGGGACAGTGCATGCCATTGTTTTTTTTTCTTCTCTTGCTATGGTCTGTTTACAGATTGGGCATAAAACCATCTTGATAAGCGAGAGAAAAGAAGAAAGAGAAAAAAAAAAATTACGTAAGTAACGTGGTAAAAAAATTGACGTTATCCCAACCTCGTCACTGGAAACACTGAGATATCTAGTACCTAGTCCTATTTATGCGCATGCGCTCCCCACCTATATTCTTATCTAGAATGCCTGCAATAAATACCTTAAGCCGACTAAAATTATGATTTTTCCTTTCTTCTTCTGACGTGAAACGGCGTTGTATTGAAGAATCTTTCCTGTCTGTGGATATAACACGATTAATAGTTGGTTCTAACCAAAAATTATGACCGAACTCCTTCTAAAAACTGCGAAAATCACTAACTATAAACTGACTGAACTTTTATCATACGCTCTGAACTGAGGTCTAGACCACACTGCTATTATTCCACTATTGCTCTGGATGTCATCCTTATACAAAATTTCCAAATGGCATCCATAAAAATTATGAACAGTAGGGGGCTCAGGCTTTCGCCCTGTATAACTCCCCTAAAGAAATGGAATGACCTAGACTCAGTACCGGCTAGCCTTATTACTCCCTTTGGGTCTTAGTAAACTGACTTAATTGCACTAATAAGATTTTATGGGATTCTCCTATCTTCCAATGCATCCCATATTTCCTGTCTAGAAACATGGTCAAAAGCCGACTGTAAATCTAGAAAAGCTAGGTAAACTGCTTTACCTCTATCCCATGCCTTCTCTACAATCATTCTCAGAGAGAAGATATGATTTTGAGTCTGCCTGCCGGGCCTAAAACCTACCTGTTCCTCTTCCACCAATTTCCTTAATCTTTGTTCCAAGATTCTAGTGTATACTTTGTATTTTCTATTCACAGTGTCTAGTGTATATCACTGATGACAGACATATGGGGCGGTAATTATACACTTTGGCTTTCCTTCTTATGGATTGGGATAACGATGTTGTTTTCCCATTCTGTGGGTATCCTTTTGAGATCCCAAACCTTTTAGAATAGTGTTTGGAGACACTTGACCAGCTCATTTCCTCCATATTTTATAAATTCAGGTGCAATCCCATCTGGCTCAGCTGCTTTTCCCATCTTTACTTTAGCAATGGCTGCTTCGACTTCCTCCTCCTCTATGGTGTCATCCATGTCGAGGACTTCTGGTTCAGTTCTTCTACATCTTCTACAGCAATCTCGAAAATTCCGCCTCCTTTCTTCCAGAACCTCCAGTATGTCTTTGTCTTCTGTCACCAATATGCCATGCTCATCCTTTACACTTCTCACAGGCTTTGCTTTTTTATTCCTTAGTGCTCTTGTGATGTGCTAGAATTTTCTTTATAGTTTTTATCCAGTTCTAGCCCGAATTCCTCCCAAGATTTTCTATTCTCTTAGACTGATTCCTTTTCTCTAGGTACAATGCCCAATCTCCTGGTGACTTGCTTCTACAGTACTGTTTCCAGGCCTCTTTCTTTGCAGATATGACAGATCATTTCACATCCTCGCTCCACCAACTAGTTTTCTTAGTAGTAGGTCTTATTTGCTGTAAACCACATACTTCCTCGGCTGCCTTGAGTGGAATGAATTTGATTTCTGCCCAAATAGTGTCAACATCTGTGTCCCCATTAACTTCTTGGATTTGAAGGCGAATTGTATAAGCCTGCTCTTTTTCCTCTTCTCTTAGCTTGTTGACAGCTATCCTATTATATGACTTGGCGATCTTTTTCCATGGTTTTCAATTCTACTCCTTGTATAACTTTAATGTCTGAGTTCCCTATCGATGATAAAATAATCAATGATGCTATTTCTGGTAACTCTTCCAATGCCTCTTTCAAATGTGATTTTATGGATCGTCTTATGGTTATACCATGAGTTTCCAATAAGCATAATATTTTCCATGCAGAACTCAATTAGCCTGATTCCATTGTTATTGATGTAATCTTCACCTCCTCATATACCCATCGTTCCGAAGGCTGCTTGATGATCCTGACCTGTCCTTTCATTTAAATCTTTAGATACTGTGATCATTCTATTCCACTTTCTTGCTTTGTCTACTATTCTCTGCAAGTCTTCAAAACTGGTCTTTATCTACAGTGGCAGAATCTTCAGTAGGAGCATATACCTGTATCATGGCAACTTTTCCGATAGAGAGCACAATGTCCATAGTGATAATCCTAGATGATATGGGTTCCCAGGCTTCTACTCTATCAAATAATTCGTCCTTCAGGACAAAGCCGACACCTTTTCTGGCTCTTTGTCCTATATTAACTCCTAAATATATCATACTATACTCAATCCATTCCCTTTCTTCTTCACTTCACTTAGCCCGATAATATCCACCTTAAATCTTTTTAGTTCCTCCACCAGTTCTATCTCCTTACCCGTAAGTGACGTTATATTCCCATTAGCACAACGTAAGACCTTTTTCCTGCCATGTCTACAACCAGTTGACTGTACGGATCCGAGGCTGCTTATATTTCTTTGAATCGATTTACTCTAGATAGGTAATTGGCCCGATGCTAGAGGCCCCGTATCCTCGGGATAACTGGCCTCCTGAATATTCGTATCCCCTCAGAAGAAAGGGTGGCCGGGCTATACCCCCTAGCAATGGGTACCTACTGGTCCACAGGTCTTTATTCGTTATATTCAGACCACCCCTCCTAGGAAGGATCTCCCATCCACCACCTGGGGGACACGCTTCCGAGCGGGCAGTTTCCGCCGAGAGGTTTATCAATTCTAAAGATGAGAAATTCTATTCCGAGGGAATGGAAAAGATGCCAGAAATGTATTGATAGTAGTGGAGATTATTAAGAATAAATAAAACAGTTGTAAATATTTCTTTTTAAACCAAAATCCTGCATTATTTTCTGGACAACCCAATAAAATATAAAAGATGAAAATAAATACATATGAAAAACATAGTTCATAAAATAATTTATAAATAAAAAAAAAAATGTATTATGAATTATTTTCTTAAACATTATTACCATCCAATCAACCACCAATGCAACTCAAAGAATGAGAGAATATTAGCAAATACAAAGTGTGAATTTATAGGTAAATTATCTAAACACTCCTTCTAATAATTACAGTAGCCAAAATCTGGTGGAAACCAAGTATTCCAACAACACAGATATTCTTTTCGCATTATGATTTCTAAGGGTGCCAATAGTTTTATAGTGATATGAAGATGCTGAATCTAAATTTTTTGGTCATCATTTCATTCAAACATGCCTACTTTGAATTTTGTTCCTACCGCTGATTTTATTAATTTAATTATCATTTCATTGGTGTCTAAGTAAGTGGCTGAATCTAAATTTGCCTATGATTTAGCTCTTATATGTGGAATTTTAGAATTATAGCTGTTACATTTCATAGATATGATTTTCATTATATAAGTACAAGAAAGAATTTTTGAACTGATTTTCATTTGTGCATCCCATATTACCAACAAGCTTATATCAACCTAGTCATTCAGAAGGAACATCAGAATAAATATTACAGCTTTGTCTTATGAAGGAAAGAATGAAGACATGAATCTTATGACTTCTTCCTTCTACCTAATTATGAAGCACTTTCTTTCAGCATGATTATGAAGGCCCAACAGCTGGAAATTGGGATTTTTTTTTTTTACAATTATCCAATATAGGTTTTTAAAATTAAATTACATATTAATACCTGATATTGATCTAACATAGTAAAAATATAAATACTATTTTTATGTTACCCTTTGGGCCGGTAAGTTGATGCCAGCAGCTAGAGTTGAAGTACAGCAGATACAGCAGAGAGTTCCAGATAAGAATGCTTCTTCAATTAATTTTCTCTCAGCATTTGTCAACCCTTAAAGATTAAAATAAAAAATTGTAAAATATAATCAACATTTAACTAGAATTATAAAATATGAAACAGAGCTTTACATGTTAATGAAATTCTTCGTTCATTAGGAGAAAACTTTTATAAATACAAGAAAATACCTTTAAACAATGGTTATTTTCTGAACGTTTATTTTAAAAAGTTTAAAAATGAAATCTTAAGTTTGTGATTAGGTACATAATTTGTAAATAGTCATGAGATACTGTATAGAAAGTTTCAAAATTAGATAGTAATCAAACTGGGGTAGAGTGTCTACACTAAATAAAACTGATTCTGTACTCTACAGGAATTTGAAAAAAGTAGAGTAGAGACTCACTCTTCATTATCCTGCAGAATTGTTCTTAATGTTTTCTCATAAAACTAATTTTTTTTCTATCTTTTTCTGAAAGCATTCTTGCAGTTGTTTTACTGATTGAGAAATATCGTTGCATTTTTCACAAGTGGGCATTTCAAGATCTGTTACAAGATAGCCATGTGTAAACTGGGGGTAGGGTGGCCAAGCAATATAACGCAAATGCAAAGCATGCGTTGCCCGGCAACCAACCACATGATGAACCAAAGTTTACAAGATATAAAATAATTACGAGGTCCCTTCCCAGTACCGGGGAGGCTTTTTAATTCTGGCATTAATCCCCCACCCTCTCCCCATGGCCAGTAAAATCCTTGTGTATCCTAAAAGGAGAGGAATGGTTCTTTCCCTTCATTTTGCATTTTTTACTTCAAGTTGTATTTTAATTTTGAAATACCCCAGCCCCCCCAACATCTCCTTAATTCAGGAATTATTTGAGCATAGGTTGTCAATGGCAGATAAAACACTCCACAAATCCATTAAAATGATCCATCAGTAAAATTTATGTTTATAACAAAAAAAAAAAAAACCTGCTGATTGCATCATAGCCCAGTAACCTTGTACATCATAAGTTGAATTGAATGGGGGTAGAAGGTTTCTTTTTATTTTCTTATATGGGATATGACTGAGATGCAAAACCCAAGTTTTCGACCTCGGTGCCTCCCCCTCCACCCTGGATCACTTTTAAAATCCCAAAAACTGCTACATTTTCGCACTTTTTTGATTTGTCTCTATTTTATCCATGAAGCAGCACATTTTCGACAAAAAACATTCTACAGATTTTTAAACTAGATTTAATATGCTACAATTTAAGACCAAAACAGGCTCAGTAAATTAAATAGTCTATAAGACACAAATTTTCGAAGCCTGGACAATTTTATTTCCCATTTAAATTATTTTTCATGTTTGATTATATGCGATTGTCTTTTTTCTTCAATAACCTGTCTGATATGAGTCAGTGAAGTAAATATTTATTCATTTTAATATTTTGAAGGGAGGAGGGGAGGGGGAAGGTTTGGTGGGAGAGGGTAGTCCGTGGGTCCGAACCCCCTCCCGTGCACCCCTCCTTCAAAATATTAAAATGAATATATATTTACTTCACTGACTCATATCAGACAGGTTATTGAAGAAAAAAGACAATTGCATACATCAATATAAATTGCATTTTGTTGTATTCCTTGTAACTATATATTAAAAAAAAAACAATGTTCCCACAAAACAAATTGGCCGTACAGTCCCAAAATAATGCCCAAATATGAAGGATTGACGACTTTGACTTCAGTCAGTTTTTCAATCACTGAGATTCAGCAGTTAGCTTAATTTCATCATAATTGGTCTTTTATTAAAGCTGGATAGCCAGAGAATAATAAAACATAAAAAAAAATAATTGGCCTTGGCAATAAAAGAATATCAGTAAAGTCAATTTTTTCAAATTTAAGCTGAAAATCAAGCGTCATTTGTAAGTAAACGGCCAAAAAAAAAACATAGTAAATAGGCCTTGAAACATCTATAAAATACATTTATCTTTCTAAATCATTGATTCATTTTTAACATATTTGAAACGGTTCTTTAGAAAATGCACTTAATCGGCGAAAAAGCGGCACTGGCACAGGCGCCTACATTCCTCTGCCACCTCATTCGGTTCTCATAAATGGCATAGTTATAGTGCTACTCTCTTCATCTGCCTATTTCATATTTCTTCCATCAAATAATATTTCCATCTGTTCCTTGTTATATTTTCAAAGATTTTGGATCTTCTTAACAGTAATCGCAGAATTTCTTTTTTTTAGCTGTTTTTTCTTCTTTCATTTTATATATCTATATATTTTGCTATGATTTGTTCCCATCTCTAAAACTGCTCTCTGAAATTAAATTTCTCAGTCGCAGAGAGTTTTGAAAGGTGCGGTATGTCTTTTCTTTTTTGTTGCCTACTGGTTTACTAGGATGAAGATTGAACCCAATAAATGGCTCAGGTCATTTTATCAATTAGCTTATAATATTAGATTCATTCAAGATAGGGTTTCTATCTCTTATCATTTATTGTAATTCCTATATCCCAGTATCCTACTCCTTCAAAATAATAAATTAAATAAATGTTTACTTCACTAGAGAGAAACACTTTATTTTCATAAAATATAAAGGATTGCTGCCCAATTATATTATAAGACAGGTTATTGAAGAGATAAACATGAAAAATAGGTTAATATTTTCAAGTTTCGAAAATTTCATTCACCTCATTTACAATTTTTGTATGCACGAGATATAAATGTCTGTTAAACATTTTTTTATTTCAATTTCAGTCTTCTGGTTGTAAGAAGTAATCTCAACAGAGGGATGAAAGGAAGGAGGAAGGAAACTGAGAAGGTTGAAATAAGAAAGAGAATAAGAAAGAGAATAAGAAAGAAAAAAAATAATAATAAAGAGAAGACCCACCTGCTTACGGAGATGTAAATCACGCGATGAGGGTGTTAGTCAGGGTGGGGGTGGAGAGAAGGGATGTATAGTGGCGCCATCTCCAACGGTTATCTGACGAAGTTTGAACTAAATTACCTGAAGCGTAAATAAGGATGAGAGATATATTCATAAATATTATGGATAATTAAACAAAAGTTGATAGAAAGAGGCAATAAAATAGTTTAATATAAAATAAATTTATAATAAATAAATTATAAATAAATAATTTATAGATTATAAATAAATTTAAATAGTGGATAGAAATTCTGGAGAGGCAATAAAATACAGATAATAACTGTTGAGTAATAATGGAGAATAATTGAAATTAATACATATCATATATATATATGATATATATATATATCTGACTGTTTCCCATCAAATCCTCCCCATGTCTAGCATCCTAACCACCTGCCACGTTAACTCGCAATCCCTTCCCGCCCATTATGATGAATTCCTGCAGTACTTTTCTCAAAACTTTTTTCACATCATCGCAATCTCAGAAACCTGGCTCAAACACTATATTCCGTCCTCATCTGTCTCCTTACCTAATTACACCCTCATCCGCCACGACCGGGTCAGCCGGACTGGTGGTGGGGTGGCCATATTTGTCCATGATAGCCTGAAGTCCCGAATCCTTGATTACTCCCCACCCTCCGAACATCCACAAGTGGAGTACCTTCTAGTAGAAATTACCTGTAATAATTCACCTCTCCTTTACATAGTGATCTACCGTCCTCCCCTTGTTCCATTTGATCCGTCCTTAGAATCAACCCTACTCAACTTTGTTCCCCTCTATCCTAGAATAATCATTGCCGGTGACCTCAATACCAATTTCCTTTCTAATTCCAAAGACAAAACCTATCTAGAAAACCTATTTTTTTCCCTCCATCTCTTTATTGTTCCTTTTTATCCTACTCACCACACCCACAAGGCCGACACTTGGTTAGATTTCTTCATTATAGACTCCGAAATAAATCTCCTCTCCTCTTCTCAACTGCCAGTATCCTTCTTATCATCTCACGACATGATCCAAATAACATATAATATCCAAACCCCTCTGATTCATCCGAGAACCTTCACTTTCCGTCAGATAGACACTCTCACCCGTGAAAAAATACTACCTGACCTTGAAACCTTAGACTTGAACGAAATATATTCCTGCTCCTCCATCGACTCCATGGTTGAGATCCTGACTTCCAATCTCTTCAATATCCTTAACACCCATGCTCCCATAAAAACCTCAACCTTTCGCCGTCGGCCTGCACCTTGGATGTGTCAAGAAATCAAGGATCTGCAGAAGAGGCGTGATGCTGCCCGCAGACGCTTTAGACGTACTAGGCTTACAGATGACTATCAAGCGTTTAGGGTGCTCCGCAATTTGACACAAACAAGAATTCGGCGAGCTAAAGCTTCCTACTTCCATGAAGCCCTGTCATCTGCCCCAGATCCCAAATCTAAATGGCTAATCCTTCGCAAACTTTCCCTCTGTGAACCTTCTAGATCCCCTTCCTCACTGTTCTTTTCCGTTTCACCTGACGATTTAAATTCACATTTTATTTCTGCCTCCTCTACCTCTTCTCTTCCCTCCTCTTCCAACTATGCTCCTGAGTCATCATTTAATGATGATGACTTTTATTTCTCCTACATTTCCCAATGTACATTTTCTACATTTTCAAATAGCTCCATCTCTTGGTTCCAATCTTTCCTATCACAACGCACCCAAGCAGTCTCCATTCCTAATCAACCACTATCTGCCTACCTGCCTTTATCCTCTGGAGTCGCCCAAGGATCTAGCATATCTCCTCTCCTTTTTAGTTCCTATATCAATGACCTCCATGACTCAATCCTCCATTGTTCCCACCACCTTTATGCAGACGATTCTCAAATATACCTATCCTTTTCTCCCCCTGAGCTATTGGTAGCATTTACTAAGATCCAAGCAGACCTAGATCGAATCTGTGCCTGGGCAAAATTAAACGGATTAAGGTTAAATGCTGCAAAAACTCAGGCCATTGTCATTGGTTCCAAGCCCCTCCTTAGATCCTATACGGACTTTCCCATACTAAACCTTGGTGACCAGCCAATCTCCTTCTACTCCTCTGTAAAAAATTTAGGACTATTTATTGATCAAACCCTCTCCTGGAGTCACCATATTTCTCAC